ACCCATATTTAATACGGATAAAAAAACTGGTCGGCGGATAATATGGGTTACCCATATTATCTGTTTAACCAAAAAATTATAATTTGGTCAAAGCTTTGAATCTTAAGAGAAAGACGGGTTTCTGATAATCAGGAGACAATAATAAAGCTTTTGAATAATATTGATAAGCAGAAAGAAAGCAGAAATTTGATATATGTTTCAGTATTTGTGTCTGTACAAATGATAAGACCTCTTCCTTTTATACTAGATAAAAGGTAACAGCTGACGGAGGTAATAATAGGCATTAAATGAGGTGTTACACAATTATTGCTATTAAATATTGATTTTCTAACGTATATGGCTTTTAATACTGTATTTGGACCACTTCTTGTTATCAGATTCATATTACTCGATTTCCTACGAATCTTCGGTCTTCAATGTCTTTGATAGATACGAGTTTCATACTTGAGCTGCAGCCCGTGACTGTTTGAAATTCTTTTCTCGTATCTATTGATGCTCGTACCTCTTGGATAATTAATGCCCGTTGACTCTTTGACCGAGCCACGTGTCATGCCACACCATCTTCAACATAAAACTTAGTTTTTCCCAATACAGATAGTCCCCCCACTTCTCATTTATTTAACAATTAAATAATTGGAAAGTAGATTTTGAAAAAAGAATTTTTGTCACAATTAATGCTGGTGTCAGTATCGATGTCCTTTCAGTCTTTCTTATTTAATACCCCATACACGTGTCACCTTCTGCTTGGATCTGCAATTTTGTCCCCACTTTTCGAGGTTTGTTCAGTCTCCCTCTGTTTTATGAAACGACAGTTATTTTTAATTGTGGTTTTTCAGCATTACTTCCTTTAATTTTGATGGTTGTTCCCATTTAAACACTTCACTTAAACTTTCTTTGTCTTCTTCTTCATCATTTTGAATTTCATCGAACCCCCTTCTTCTACTTCTTTTGAATTTTCCCTTCAATGGCATCCTCAGATTCAAACCCTAAAAAAGTTCCAATTCTTAATAAATTCCCAAATTTACCTGCCCCAGTGGTTAGGCACAAAAGAGGCGGTGGTGAAAATCTTCGAAGTGTTGAATCTGCTCGTGGCGGTTCAAGAGCTCCCATTATTTCTTCCAAGAATTTAGGTGTTAAAGGTTACTCTTCTAAACCTTCTGCATCTAAAGGTAAAGATGATTCTAATTCTCAAGAGCCTTTGGTAGAAGAGATTGTACCACAAGATTTGTCTTTTACCAGTGATAAAAAGGCTTTTGAAAAGCTTATTAGTAAAATTGACAAGGTTGATGAGTTTCCTTCCCTTGTGACTGCCCTTACACTTCCTTCTATTAGAAAAGATTGTAACTAGAGCGATAATATCCACATAATTGTTCCCACTATAGACCAAAGGATTTCTTCTTTTAGGAAGAATTTTACTTTTATCTATACCTATCCTTTTACCTTAGGATTCACACCTCCAATAGATCAGGTCATTCTTGATTTTTGTCGCTTTTTTAATATCTGCTTGGCCCAAGTCAGTCCAATGGTTTGGAGGGTTGTGGCCTGTTTAAGGCATCTGTCATCTAAAGCTAAGGTGGGATTTACTTTCCCTCACCTTATGCATCTATACAAACCTAGCTTGTTACGACACGGAGTTTTTACCTTATCTGCTAGGAGCAAAAAGGTTTTAGTAAACTCTGATGATGATAAAGACCGTGGGTGGTACCTCCGCTATGTGGGTATTAAAACCGCACATTTATTGGGAGAGTCGAACCTTCCATTCCCAGAGCATTGAAATTCTGCACGTAAGTTTTTTTTTTTTTTACTTTCCCGTGTCTATTGCTCTTGAAATTCTCGTACCTAAAAAATTTTTCCCTTCCTTTTTTTTTTAGCAATCATGGGTGAGGTGGAGCCTATCCCCAACTTTCGTGGTTCGATTTTAAAGATTGCTCCCAAGGATGAGAGGCCTTGGAACTTTATTTCTGCTTTAAATGGTTGGAAGGTTAAAACCCATGGTATGTATCTCTTCAGATACTTCTTAATTGACCTTTTTATTCTTGATCATGAACTTTTATCCTTCTTTTTATCAGGATTGAGTGCTAAAGGAATGGACGTATCCGTGGCTGTCTGCTATTGGTGTAGAGAAAGAGAAGGCCTTGATTGCAGCAAAGAGGAAATTGGGTATAACCAATATTGAAGATGTAGAAGAGGAAGGTACCTTGTTGGAGCGTAGGCGTAGGAGACGTATGGTCGTTGATGACGATGTTATCGAATCTCCTGCTCAAATTTTTGCTTCCGTGCCTGATTTGCCTCAATCTGATACCCCAATGATAGACACGATCGAACCTGTTCAACGGCTTTTTGAAAGTGGTTTTGGGAGCGAGGGTCCTGGACCTGTTTTAGATTAAATTCCTTTATCCTCATCTGTTTCCCTTTCACCCATTCCTTTTGTTTCCACTTCTATTGCGAACACTTCTTCATCTGAGGTGATATTAGTTCCTCCTCCTTTTCCTTCAATTGTATCTGCCTCAATTCCTCCTCTGAGTGTTCCTGCATCAATTCCTCCAGTGGCTTTTATGACTTCTTCATTTGCTTCAATCCATGCTCCTATAGTTGCAGCGGCCCCTACTTCTTCAGTTACTCCCTCATCTGTTGTTCCTTCTTCTTCTTCAACCCCATTAGAAATGGGTCCTAGAAATAGAAGAATGGCAATGAGGACGGTTACCTTAGAGGTTCCTATTTCCCATAGTCTTTTGAGAAAGACTGGCGATGGTGGAGATGACGTGTGGCTTGGACCTCTAATTGGGGATATTGAGAAGAAAAAAATGACTAGCCACAGCAATCGGACTTTATTGAATGACATTGTTTATGCAACTTTAAAGGTGACTATTTTCCCTTTGAACTTCTGTGTTCCCTTATTTGTTTTAGATCTTCACACTTGTATTTTACATTCCCCAGGCCAACCTTATGGGAACAGAGCTAATGGGAAGGGTTGCTGCTTTGGAAAGAGAGAACCGTGAGTATGGTAAAGCAGTCACGGAAGCCCAAGTTGAAGCCCAAAATTGGAAAGAGCAGTTTGAGAGCGCTCAAGAAAACATAGAAAGAATTCAAACCAGCAAAGCCCAGATAGAGCAAGAGAAACGATCCTTATCTTCCGAACTTGCAACTGTTAGGGCTTCTTCTCATCAGCTCATTAAAGATAAAGAGATTTTGACTAAAGATAAGGAGGCTTTAACAGGATTGTTGTCAGAAGCGACTGGAGAAATTGATAAGCTTAAAGCACTTGTGAAGGGGAAAGAAACACACGTGAATGAGTTAATGCAAAGCTTGGATCAGTCTCGGGCTGATTTAAACATTTCTTCAGGTGAGATTGCTGCTCTTAAAGCTTCTCTTGATTCCAGTTCAACTAATCATGAAGCCACCAAGATTGAGCTCGCTGAGTGGAGAAGAGATTATGACAAACTGGCAGGAGATTATGATTCTCTTGCGAATGATTTTAACAGTTAGGTTCAATTGGCTTATTTTAACGCTCGTCGAGATGCCTTAGTAGAGGTTACTGGTGAGAATTTCGATTTGAAATCTGAACTGACTAAGGCTTTAGAAATGATTGAAGGTTTAAGCCAACCTGCTGATACTCCTTCTCCAGCGCAGCCTATTCCTGAAACACCAGGAGTGGAAGAGCCTTTAAATGACGAAGCAATTGCTGAGGTATCTGAAGTCATAATTCAAGTGACCGAGGGTGAAATGGTTACCACACAATCAAAGGGAATTGATGTTCCCGTGACTACTACTTCCCTCGATGATATCAACATTTCCGACTCATCTGAAGTTGCTCCCGTGGCTACTCCTTCAGGAGTTGTTACCTTACCTCCTGTTGTTTCTACAAGTGAAGCTTCCTCAACTGTCGATATTTCTTAGTATATCCTTAGTTTTTAGTATTTTTCTGAAGGAATTAGAGTCCTTATTTTCTATAATGGGGCATTTGTTTTTAAGGACAAAGTATTTGTAATAGCTAAGTTTTCTCTTAGCTCTTTATGTTGAAATACTTTTCTTTATGTATTGTTTTACAAAATTCTTACTCTTGCCTATTTTTATTAGGACTTAAAGAATAAGTTAGCATTTTTTCTTTCATAAAATGCTTTCATGATTCTCCTCATAGTTCAATAACATGAGGAAAAATAAAAGAGGGCCCTTTTATTTAATGACACTTAATGAAGAAGACGTCTCAACTTCATATAATGGTGTTAATATACGATGAAAGAGATAGGAACGTACATGTTTCATAAACAACTTTTTGAAAAGTTTTTCATTCATGAACTTTAATGATTTCTTTACATGTATTGAAATGCATCTATAACTTTCTCGTAACTGTTTTTATTTAACAGATTTACAAAGTATACAAGGTACAAGGTTTTTCTTTATAACCTGGTTTTAATACATTGTCGTGTCCTTCCCTTGCCTTTATATTATTAGGAAGGGTCTAGCAAACGACTTTATTGTTTTAAGAAACGACTTGATTTGATACAAAAATCTTGAGCTTGACTTGAACTTGACTTGAATTTTGCTCAGCCTTGCTTTTTCGTATCTGCGTCACTTCTTCATGTGTATAGTATAGTCCCCCAAGTGTTTGAGTGATGAAGTATGAAGCCTCAAGCACTTGTATATTAGTTCCGAACTTTGGTCCTTTTCCTGTAACAGAAAAATATACAGGACTCGGGGGTATGATTATAGATGAATACTGTCTAACTCGTGTGTATTTCCATCAGATTTTTGTAGTCCTAGGCCAAGAATTTTAAGAGTATTCCAATTTGCCGTGCAGACCGTGACTCATCATTTGGCACGAGTTAGAACTTTTGCCTAGCATCTAAAATCGTTCTTATAATTTTATTAATTCAAAGGAAAAATTTTAACTTGGTGATACCTGATCGTGGGTTTGGTCTTCAGAAATAATATCTCTTTAGGTGAACAACATTCCAATGTGATGGTAAAACCTTGCCTTCCATTGTCTCCAACTCGTATGCTCATTTGCCAACAATTTCACGAATTCGATAAGGGCCTTCCCATGTTGGAGTTAACTTTCCTGAATTAATTGCTTTTGTAGACTGGAAAACCTTTTTTAACACGAAGTCCCCAACTTTAAAGAATCTGAGGCGGGCTTTCCTATTGTAATATCGTTTAATGACTTACTTTTGAGCTGCCATCCTTATCAAGGCAGCCTCTCTTCTTCCTTCAAGTAAATAAAGATTTACCCGTAATTCTTCATTGTTCGAATCTTCTTCAGTTTGCACTCGCCGTATGCTGGGTTCACCTATCTCAACTGGAATTAGAGCTTCCGCACCATAAACCATTGAAAATGGCGTTTCTCCCGTACTTGTTTTTGTTGGCGTACGATTTGCCCACAACACTGCCGGTAATATCTCAGGCCAATTGCCTTTTGATTCCTGTAACCTTTTCTTTAGGTTGTTAATGATCACCTTATTTGTTGACTCCGCTTGCCCATTTCCTACTGGGTGATATGGAGTTGAGTAATCCTTTTTATTTGCCAACTTTGGAAGAATTCGGTGACCTGCGCCCCTATAAACTGTGGTCCATTATCACAGTCTATCTCCTTTGGAACACCAAAACGACAAATGATGTTTCTCCAAATGAAGTCTTTAACTTCCTTTTCTCGTACCTATTTAAATGCTCCTGCTTCTACCCATTTAGTAAAATAGTCAGTAAGTACAAGTAAAAATTCTACCTGACCTTTTGCTTGAGGTAATGGCCCTACAATATCCATTCCCCATTTCATGAAGGGCCACGGAGCTATGACTGGGTGTAATAATTCCGCTGGTCTATGCATATTGTTTGCATATCTTTGACACTTGTCACACTTCGATATGAAATCAATCGCTTCTTCTTCCATTTTGGGCCAATAATACCCTGCTCGAATTAGTGTTTTAACCAACGATCTGCCACCTGCGTGATTTCCACAGTGTCCTTCATGTACTTTTCTCATGACATATTCCGTCTGAGCAGGTCCGAGGCACCGCGCTAATGGTCCACCAAACATTTTGCGATATAAATTTCCTTGATGTAAACAGTATCGAGCAGCTTTCTTCCTTAATGCGTGGGCTTTTACCTTGTCATCAGGTATGATTCCGTACTGCAAAAAAGACACGATTTCGTTTCTCCAACCCCAAGTCAAATGACTAAAATTTACCTCGTTCTTATCAGGTTCGAGAACTGAATGATACAGATGTATAATTGAAGCATTCGAATCTTTTGCTATATCTGCAGCAGATGCGAGGTTGGCTAAGGCGTCAGCTTCCAAATTCTCTTCCCTTGGGATTTGTAGCACCTTCCAAGTTTGAAATTGCCTCACTAATTCTCGTACCTTTTCAAGGTATTCTTGCATTCGAGCTTCTCTGGCTACGTAAGTCCCCAGTACTTGATTTACCACTAAATGTGAATCGCTTTTGATTACAATTTGCATGATTCCAAGCTCTAATGCTAACTCCAATCCTGCAATCACTGCTTCATACTCTGCTTCATTGTTAGTCACAGGATGACATTTTATAGCCTGCCTAATTATTTCACCTGTAGGTGGTATAAGGACTATTCCTAAACCTGCTCCTTTTATATTAGAAGAGCCATCAGTAAACAGTACCCAAGTCCCCGGATTAACCCCGTTAAAAACTTGCAACTCTTTTTCTGCTTCCAAATGTGTATTTTGACTAAAATCGGCTACAAAATCAGCGAGCACTTGAGATTTAATACCGGTTCTAGGTTGATAGATTATTTCATACTCACTTAATTCTATAGCCCATTTTGCCAATCTACCTGACAATTCATGTTTATGCAATTTGTTTCTTAAAGGAAAAGTTGTAACAACAATAATAGGATGACATTGGAAATAAGGTCGAAGTTTCCTAGATGCCATGATGAGAGCTAATGCTAATTTTTCTAGTTGCGGATATCTCGTTTCTGCATCTAACAGGGTTTTACTTATATAATAAATTGGAGATTGCTTACCTTGATCTTCACGTACTAAAACAGCACTTACTGCCACTTCGGATACTACCAGGTATATGAGTAGCTTTTCACCCTCTTTGGGTTTGGCCAATAAAGGTGGATTTGATAAGTAAGCCTTCAAATCTCGAAGTGCTTGTTGACAATCTTCATTCCATTCGAAATGGTCTTGCTTTTTAAGTGCGGAGAAAAATCTGAAACATTTTTCTGATGACTTTGAGATGAATCTTCCCAAAGCTGCTATCCTTCCTGTTAACCTTTGAAAATCCTTCTTGCTAGTAAGAATGTCAGGTATTTCTTCAATTGCTTTAATCTGGGAAGGATTCACTTCAATTCCACAATTAGAAATAAGAAAACCTAAAAATTTGCCAGACTCAACCCCAAATGCACATTTTTCTGGATTGAGTTTCATATCAATTTTTCTTAAAATTTCAAAGGTAACAATTAAGTGAGAGATATGATCATGGGAATGCTGGGTTTTGACGAGCATGTCGTCTATGTATACTTCCATGGTTTTTCCTAAATGCTCTTGAAAAATTTTGGTTACCAACCTTTGATAGGTTGCTCCAGCATTTTTTAGACCAAAGGGCATTACCTTATAACAGTAAGTGCCCCTGTCTGTGATGAAAGAAGTTTTTTCTTCATCGCCGGGGTCCATTTTAATTTGATTGTACCCCGAATATGCATCTAAGAAACTTAAAAGCTCATGTCCTGCAGTCGCATCAATTAATTGATCTATGTGAGGTAAAGGAAATGAATCTTTTGGACAAGCTTTATTTAAATCAGTATAATCAACACATACTCGCCATTTACTATTCTTTTTAGGTACGACCACCGTATTAGCAAGCCAAGTAGGATATTTTACCTCTCGAATAGATCCGATTTTCAACAATTTTTGGACCTCATCTTGTATTACCTGATTCTTAAAGGCTCATTGTTTTCTCTTCTTTTATTTAACCGGGGTAAAAGATGGGTCTTCATTCAGCTTATGAGTCATTACATCCGGTGGGATACCTGTCATATCAGCATGGGACCAGGCAAAACAATCTATATTAGTTTTTAAAAATTCAATTAACTTACCTCGCATGTCGAGATTTAAATTGGCCCCGATGTAAACTTTTTTATCTGGCCATTGCTTGAATAACACAACAGCTTCGAGTTCTTCAATTGTTGTTTTGATGTTCTCGTTTTCTTCAGGTTCCTTAATTACATCGGGTCTCGAATATAAATCTGTTGCTTCAGTTAAAGTTTGGTCTCCAACAGCTCCAACTGTTTCCAGTAATTGCTATTTAACCTTACTTAAGGTACTCGCATCTGTTACTGCGTTAATGCTTTTGGCAGTTTGCTGGTCCCCTCGGATTTGGCATATTCCCCACGGTGACGGAAATTTAACGACTTGATGTAAACTTGAAGGAACAACATCCATATCATGGATCCATGGCCGACCCATGATTACATTATATGCTATTTTCAAATCTATTACCTGAAATTTAGTCTCTTTTATAACTCCTGCAGCATACGTGGTTAGAATTACCTCACCTTTTGTTATCACGCTTGAATTGTCAAAGCCTGATAGAGCATGTGCTTTTGGCACCATCCTATCTTCAGCTTGCATTTCACGTAACACTCTCAATAGAATGATATTTACGGCACTACCTGGGTCAATCAAAACTCTTTTTACATTAGTATCAAATATAATTAAAGATATTACAGGGCATCATTATGTGGTATGGTCACTCCATCCAGATCTGCATCATCGAAGCTTATACTTTCCTCCTCCAAGGTTTGACGTACTCGTTTGCCATGTGTGATCGTCATTTTAGAAACCTTGTTAGAGGTTGTATAAGTTACACAATATATATCTTCTCCTCCACTGATAACGTTTACGACCCTCTTGGATGAAGGTGGTTTTGGTGGCTCTTGTCTATTTTTCATATAAGCTTGTTTTCCTTTTTCACTAAATAGTTCCTTGAGATAACCTTGCTTCAACAAATGATCAACCTCGCTTTGTAAAAATCTACATTCTGACGTTTTATGGCCATGGTCATTGTGAAATTCGCACCAATGATCCGGATTACGTCTGTTTGGGTTTGACCACATCTCTTTTGGCCACCGTACCTTATCTCCCATTCCTCTTAGAACAGCTACGAGCTCGGAATTAGTTATGTTGAAACTGTGTCCAGCAAATCATGCCATTAAATGCCTATCATCCTCCCGTGATTCTTGGTTACTACGATCACTTTTGAACCTGGTAGAAGATCCGGTGCCCCTGTCTCTTGACCTGTGATCGTAATGTTGATTGTTTTGTCTCGAACGTGTATCTTTTCCTGCAGGTCCCATGTATGGATCATACATGTTCTTACCTGGTCGTTTATCAGCTTCAGACCTTCTAGATCCACTTCTATCGTCTCGTTGATATTGAGATACTGTGTCTTCTTCGATTCTGAGCTTCGTACTGTACCTGTTATAAACATCGTTCCAAGTAGTTGCGGGAAACTCACGAAGGCTCTCTTTAAGTCTTCTTGTAGCTTCTGAACTTTTGTCGTTAAAATTTCTAGCAAAAGCTATTGCAGCCCAATTATCTGGTACACGAGGCAGCATCATTTTTTCGCGTTGGAATCTATCAACAAAATCTCTAAGTAGTTCATTTTTCCCTTGTTTGATTCTGAAGATATCCTCCATCCTCTTTTCCACCTTTTGGGCTCCGGAATGTGCTTTTATGAACGAATCTGCAAGCTCAGCAAAAGAATTTATAGAGTTTTCGGGTAAAAGAGAATACCAGGTCACCGCTCCTTTAGTGAGTGTCTCCCCGAATTTTTTAACCAACACGGATTCTATTTCCTGTTTGGTTAAATCGTTGCCTTTTACCCCCGTTGTAAATGCAGTAACATGATCACGATGATCGGTTGTGCCGTCATATTTTGGAATATCAGGTATTTTGAATTTTTTTGGTATTGGTAGAGGAGCGGCACTTGGTTTCCACGGTTGCTGCGAGTATTTATCCACATCCACTCCATTTATCACTGACGGAACTCCAGGGATTTGCTCAATGCGTTCATTCTGTTCCTTGAGTTGTTTCTGCAAGGTTAGTACTAAATTTTGAAGATGAGAATTACCTGAGTTACCTGGTTCGACGTCTTGTAAATCACTTGGCATTGCTCCATTGCCAGAATCAACAAGGCCTGAGCGAGGATTCTCCAATGTGTTATTATTTGGAGTTGGTGATGCGGTAGGTGATTGACCAATTAGAGCACGCAGAGCGTTATTGATTCTTGCATCAATTAGTTTTTTAAGTAGGTCATCTCTTGTTTCAGCTCCTCCATCATCATGGCCAGACATATCATTAGGAGTTCCATCGTGAGATCCACGGGGAGAGTTTTGAATATCAGCATTATTGAGTTCAACTTCCCCAACAATTTGAGGGTTCAAATTGGCTTGATCATTGTAGTCGTTGTTGTTCGACATACTGGTAAAAGGGATGAGAATTTGTTTTAAAAGAATGGATTATCAGATTCTCGGTAACAGAACCAATTTGTTTAACCAAAAAATTATAATTTGGTCAAAGCTTTGAATCTTAAGAGAAAGACGGGTTTCTGATAATCAGGAGACAATAATAAAGCTTTTGAATAATATTGATAAGCAGAAAGAAAGCAGAAATTTGATATATGTTTCAGTATTTGTGTCTGTTACAAATGATAAGACCTCTTCCTTTTATACTAGATAAAAGGTAACAGCTGACAGAGGTAATAATAGGCATTAAATGAGGCGTTACACAATTATTACTATTAAATATTGATTCTCTAACGTATATGGCTTTTAATACTGTATTTGGACCACTTCTTGTTGTCAGATTCATATTACTCGATTTTCTACGAATCTTCAGTCTTCAATGTCTTAGATAGGTACGAGTTACATACTTGAGCTGCGGCCCGTGCCTGTTTGAAATCCTTTTCTCGTATCTATTGATGCTCGTACCTCTTGGATAATTAATGCCCGTTGACTCTTTGACCAAGCCACGTGTCATGCCACGTCATCTTCAACATAAAACTTAGTTTTTCCCAATACATTATCCATGACTTCTTGTATATGATCACTTTTGGAAGAATTCTTAGTCTCCCTAACTTGAGGAACCCCCCAATTTGATGCTTTACAAATGTAAAAGTTAGACCCATTGGTTATCTATTGGTTACTCATGGATTACCCATTTTCTAAATAGATAATATGGTTCTTATCTATATTTGACTCGTTTTTAAAATGTTCATTATCTAACCCATTTTTAATGGATAATATGGGTGGTTAACTGTTTTGTTTGAACCATTTTGCCACCCGTAGTTTCGATCTTAAATTAACAAGGATGTGTTGAATTTGACACTTGCTTAGGCAACTGCAGCAAAAGCACAGAGAGAGTTCTTTCTTAGCAAATTGTTGTAGTCATGCTCTCATGCTGGGAATAATCACAAACAAGTTCTAGGTCGAGCCAACGGTCCAATGATATACAAATCACTATTTTACCTCAACCGTTCATATTATGTGAAATATATCAATTTAAACAAGAAGTTGTATCCCATCATTCGAATTAAAAACAATTAAGACTCACGGTCATGCTAGACTTCGGTGCATAGATAACAGTCACCATGCCTATACACCGTACTCCACACTTAGCACGTAGCAAATAATATCCTAATCCTATTCCCTCAAGCCAAAGTTAGATCAAATACTTACCTCGGTTTGAAAATAGAAATCAACTCTCTAAAACTGCCTTTCCTCTATAATCCGACTCTGAAACAACGATATCTAGGCACAATTAGTTCAATAATATCAATAAGGGCTCAAAAATACAATCACATAGCCCAGAAATGAAATTCCCATCATTCTTCTAAAAATCCGACCCCGGATCCACATGGTCCAAACTCGAGGTTCGGACCAAAACCCAATCACCCATAACCCCACAAGTTCAAATATATAATTTGTTTTAAGATTCGATCCCAAATTGGGGTTGAATCGCCTAAAATCCCAAAAGCCCTAATTTTTACCTTGATTTCATGATTTTAGGCTTAGAAATTTACTAACTATTGAAGAAAAGTGAAGGAATTAGGTGGGGGATTACATACCCAAAAAGCTATGGAGGAAGAAGAGCTTGGAATTCGTCTATGGAGCGTGAAGGAGAAGGGTCCATGTGAAATAATCACAAAATCCCGAAATGGGTTCTATTTTTAAGATTTAAAATCACCGGAGGGAATAACCCTATGCGAACGCGGAACTTGAATGCATTCGCGAAGAAGACTGGCCAGGTACACCATGTGTTCGCGAAGGTGCTATGCGAACGCATAGAAGGAAACTGGGG